CACACACACACACACACACACACACACACACACACACACACACACACATTTCTGTTCCTTTGCAAAATGTGATCCTTAAATTTCCCCAAGTCTTAGCTTAAAACAATGATACTTTATATGTTGTCGGTATTATCAAAATTAATTTTCTACATTTCCATAATCAAATACCACCTCTTATAGAAAAATATTATGGGACTGGCTACCTGTACTCTCTTGCAGAAAAGATCTAAAATGAAATCTTTATTACCAGTAAATAAAGAAAAAAAGAAAACTTACAATTCACATCTTCATAATGAGCTTTTTAAAAGGTAGAAAATTGTGCCCCATTCTTTTGAAATTAAAAAGATAACTTTTTGAAAGAATCTGACTCTACTGCATCCCTTGCCCAGAAATCATCTGGAAAAACAATGACTTCCACAAATTTCTGTGTTCCTTGTATAACACGCAATTTAGGCAGCATGCACTTGTATCTCTGAACGTCTCTTTCTGTGTACATGTGGATTACTGCAGAGGAATGTGGCCGTACTAAGTTTACAAGTTCATTTGCACACCTGACAGAGACTTCAGGATTGGCAGATATTTGCTGACGTATAACACTTTCTAGTTCGGACTTCACAATTCCTGCATTACCAATGCTGTGGCAGAGTTCTAGGAACACCCAGCGCAAACATACCCCATGTGTCTGGGCAAAGTCACTGAGATAATAAAATGTACTTTTGTTTCTGTATTTGTTTGTGGGCGAGTCTGAAATTATATTAATTTTCTTCTTCCCTGCCTCAACCATCTTTAGCAAGGTCTTTTCCATGGCTGCCCAGACCCCAGCAAAGGTATAGTCTTTGCTATCAGACAATGCAATAATTTTCTGTCCTCCCCCACGGCTCCATATATATCCTGATAGCGCTGTGAGCATTGTGACTGGTTCTGATACACCATTTTCTTGTCCTGGGTAGGGGTAGATTGGCAATGGAGAACAGTCCAAATGGAAGGTCACTTCATCCCAGCTGTCAAGGGCCCTCTCACGGGCTAATCTTGCTGAATCAAACTGACAAAAAATTCGTTGGATGTGGGCCTTCAGAAGACTCAACTCCTCTAGGAATTTAGCAACCACAATGGCAACTGGTTCACTAGCACTCCTTAATTTGGAATTCACTGTTCCACTTGAGTTCCGTTCCCACAAATTGTAGGTGAGGACTTCCTTTGAATCTCGAAGGGTGCGGAGTTGTGTCCTCAACTCAGTCTCCTTCTCAGCATCTTGTAGAACATCGGCAAGTTCAAGTTTTTCCTCCCCTATTAATCCTTTGGACTTCAACTTTTCATACTTTAAGTCAGGATTGATACAGGGAAAGCAAATGCACGTCTTCCAGTGGCTTGGACTAGGTTTGACTACATTTTTGGGCACATAATCTGCAAATGAATTATAGGTACACACATTGCCAAACTCGGATTCAAATTGTTTATACAGCACAGACAAATAATGCATTCTATAGCGGAGCGAGATATCAGGAGCTTCCGACCCCAATGAGACTGAACTAATCTTGGATACATCCTCCCGCTCCATAAACTTCTCCACTAACTTGGGCAGCTCAGCAGTTGTTGTTTTAGCTAGACACTGTCTCTGGAAGTAATGATTTGGGTAAACTTCAGAGGTCTTTCTTTTAGAACTGACAGTTGCATATGGCTGTGTCTTTACCCTGCTCATAACATTCCAGAGCACTGATGATGTTGCAAACTGTAAATCATCTCCAGTGTTCAGTCCATTGACTTTTGAATCTTCTTGCTTTATCTTATCTAACTCTGCTCCATATTTAACCTTTACCAATTCTTTGCTGCTCCCTTGTTTAATTCTCTCACCCATTTTCTGATCTTTCTCATCTTTGGACTCTTTCTCTTGGATTTTCTGGTCTTCTACCCTCATCTCCTTTTGCTGCACCTCACTGCATCGCACTAGGCTAACTACTGCTTTCTTTCTGCACTCTTTCAAGGCACCAGCTGCTCCTTTCTTTATTTCACTTACCTTTGTCATTTTCTTTTTCTTTGGTTCTTCTTCTTCATTTATGATTTTTCTTTTCATTGCCAAGCCTTTGACACTCACTTTTAACCTGCCCTTAAAACCATCTAAAATGTTTGTCACTGCCGGTTTCTTCTTTGGGCTGCATTCCTCCCCTTTTCCTTCTAACTTTATGAGAGAGGCATCCCCTCCTCTCTTTTTGCCCTTAATGGTGTCATTCTTCCCTTCAAATTTCACTGGGACATGCTCCCCTCCTTTCCTCTTACCCTTCACATTGTCTGCCTTTGTATCTGCTCTCCCTACAGAGGAGGAAGAATCTCCCACTTTTCTCTTGCCCTTGGGTGTTTCCCCTGATCCATCTGCACCTAGGGCCAATGGAGGCACATCAACCAACTTCTTATCCTTAAGAGGATCCTGGCCCGTGTCTAGATTGGACATCAAGCTTCCACCCACTTGCTTGATCTTGAGTTCCTGCCGCCGCACCCTCCTTCTGAGGTTAATCAGCTGATTCTGGATGTGATGCATCTTCTTCTTCTCTTCATCTAGCTCCTTCTGCAGCCGCTTCACCTTTATCCTGTGCACTTCCAACTGGCGCTGCAGCTCCTTCTTCTTCACCATTTCCTTCTCCCTCCTCTCCTGTGTCTTGAGGATATTGGCTTCACGCTTCACCAGAGCATCCAACTTTTCCTTGTTGAGGTCAGTGGAGAACTGGCCGGGACTGTGGCTCTCCTCTGTGAGTGTATCGGCAACATTGGAGCTGCTAGGCACTTCTTCTGGCAAGGGCAATTCTGCAAAGGAACAGTGGAGCATATAAAAATAATGACTAGTGACAAAGATCAACCAACAAAAAACAGTAAATTTTCACAAATCACATTCGAGCTGTAAAAAAGTACAACTGAGTGCAATTAAATTTTCCATTAATGAAAATCTAAAACAACATGACAAGTCCTGATGAGAGAGTACTAAATATCTTGAAAGAGAGGCAACTTTGTTAAAAGATTAATCCACTTCTTACCAGTGGCAGGTGAGCAGGTATCTGGTCCTCCCACCTGTGGAGAGATTACTTTAGGTGAATAATTTTATTTCTGAAAGACTGGTGAAGAAAATGAAACAAAGAAACAACAAAGTATTAGTGGAAGCTAAAATAAATATATATATATCCTGTAATCCTGCATTATTTTGCAATTTTTTAGGATTCTCTATTCTCTGGTTTTCCTTATTCATCTTTGACTTCCCTAAGCCTTTCATGTTTTTAATCTGCATAGGAATCATCTACAATATCTATCCCCTTTGTTTTTTTCTTTAAAGGTGCACCCAAATTACATAATTCATGAAAGCCTTTCCTTATGAAGACAATCATAATTTTGGAAGAAAAAAAATCAACACTAGAAATGTCCCTATAAAGTAGTGGGCAGGAGCTGGGTACTCTAAATCATAGTACAATAAGTGAATATACAAAATTTAAATCTTTGAACTACAGCATCTTTCTGACAAGTCAATCAACAAAAAAAATATTACAGAAACCAAAATTAATAGTTTATGAGAGTAAACAACTGCACAACAAAAACTTACCTCAATCATCTCTATGAGCTCCAGGTGGTTACTGTCATCCCCATCATCCTTGGCTATGTCATCAACACTGAGGATCTCCAGCCCAGGGAACTCCTCATCATCATCATCATTGCAATTCGCTCCCCGATGCGATGGCCAGCATGACTGCAGAAGGAGAGGGCATTTGAGTGTGTGATTTCATGGAAAGTAAATCAAGCAGAAAAACTGTCTTTTGGTCCTATAGGAGCATGTTGTGCATGTGGGGAATGAGGATTACCTTGTTACAAATGCCATTTACATGAATGGGAGGATATGAAAATGGATTGATGTTTCCAGAGCTTTACAGTCAGACTACTGATTCTTTTAAAGCACCTTTATTATGCACCATAAACAATCTTTCAGATAGTGAGGGTTAAATTTAACTCCTTGATGACGGTGAAGAAAATTAGAAAAAAAAAACTCTCTGGAGATCAATATCAACGTGCCGACTTTGAGCGTGGGAGTTCGGTACATCAAGCCGAATCACCGGTTCATATCATCTTGGTGGGCCACCACGGCGTACAGCCACATGCCACAGATTGAGCAGTTTGTTATGATGCCATAGGGCGTAACCTATCGGGAAGGGGTTAAGCCTACATATAAAAGGATATACCTCCCTAGATCTCAGCCTATATGGGTTAATTAGTTCAACCTGAAACAAATAGTCTTAACTGCTTGGATCTGGGTGTTTTGCAGTCCACACATAAGCCAGAATCCGAGCATTAACCACTCATGAGTGGTATCAAGACTCCGTACCTCCCCTTTGCAAAGTAATAATATCTTTCTGCATAAGCTTTCTCGCTTGCATTTCCCACCCCCATTCTCCAAGGTTCATTATTGTCATTTGTTATGCTGTATCAAGATTTTTTTGAGCAGACTCCATGTTATCTCTCTAGGTAGTCTACAGCTGTGCAGTCTCAATAACAATAAGTAGTATCATGTTATTTGTGTGTGTTTTTTTTATTATTATTATCATTATCATTATCATTATCATTATCATTATCATTATCATTATTATTATTATTATTATTATTATTATTATTATTATTATTATTATTATTATTATTATTATCATTATCATTATCATTATCATTATCATTATCATTATCATTATCATTATCATTATCATTATTATTACTATTATTATTATTACTATTATTATTAGTCAATTTTCTTGAAAGTAGTGTCCTGGATCTGGCACTCTTCCACCTTCATTTACACTGGAAATAATGCCTAATGAGTCTAATCACCCTTCTGAGCCCTCTGCCAAATTTCTTATTGAAGATACATTCCCATCACCCGGGCCTTCAGCCCAAATTTCCATGATGGCATCCTCCGTCACCCAGGAATATCCTGGTTAATTACCTCGTTTAGTGTACAGACGCAATTTCTTCTAATATGTGAATAAATGCATATTTCTCTTACTTACCTGAGGCCCCTCTCCCTTGCCAAGGAATTTCTGCATTCTGAAAACTATCTATAACAATGTAAGGGCAATTCTGAGGTGACTGGTGCATGTACTAGGAATAAACAGCTTACATTTTTAACCCCTATGATATGGATAAGGTGACTGTCACATCATTAAAAAAATTTGGCCTGAGGGGTGGGTGACATGAATGTGCCATCATGGAAAAATCTGGCTGAGGGCCAGGGTCACTGGAACTTGCCATCACAAGGATTTCAGCTGAAGGCTGGGTTGATGGGGATGACTTGCCATGAGTGCACATAGCTTTTGGAGAGTGATTAGACTCAGTGGGTATTTAGGAAGAGGCTCTGGCATTATTTCTATTGATAAACAAGTGTGGAATATACCATCCATGAGCATGACTGGAGAAGCACTGGCTCTGAATTACAGAAACTTGAATCTTATAAAAAAAAAAAAAAAAAAAAAAAATTACTTGTTATTATCAGTGCACTGAGTTATGGACTTCCTAGAGAGAGACAGTGGACATGCTGGCTCTTTTAAAAATTTCCAGTTTATTATAAAAGGAAAAAACATTTTAAAAATCAGTAAATAATTGTATAAACAGAATAAAAAATCTTCTGCCAATGTGCAAAACTTTAAAACTTTTACTGTTTTATCTGCTGAATATAAATGCATTCTTGGATCATAATCTATAAAAACACTTGCAAAAAAATGTTTTTCCATACTAAGTGCCTATGATGATTAGGTGCAATTAAAGCCAAAATTATCAAATTCCACTTAGACATGTTTTGATCTTCAGCATTTCAAGAGCATGATTAATGGCAACTTTTGATCTTTGGTCTTTACAGAGACTGATTTTACTGTTATATAGCAAATATACATTGCCCAGTGGAGTAAGTCTGCAGTTACTCCTCATCACATCATTGAAAATGGAAATAAATTGCCTTAAAGATGTAAATTAAAATACTTTAAAGGTATAATATAAAAACAATATAATATATACTCACTAAATATTCATCTATATTTAGTTTGATAACTAGATTTATAGTAAAAATATTAAGATACAAGGCGGTGACAGTATATCACACATTAGTACAGTTTTGGGAGGTGGAATGGCAGGCAGGAAGGGATAGAGGGAACTTCCAAAAAATATCAGATTATTAGTGAAAAATTCATACATGTCATTCACAACAAAAATAGACGCAGTATTACAGCCCACATTATTTTTAGAAAACTCCATCTTAATCATGGTGAAAGGGATTCTACACACAAGGTACAAGTTACCAAGTTGGTGAAGAGGATTTAGGTCATTGGTTCAATAAATAGCAATAGAAAATAGCAAAAGAAATACTACACCAAATTAGCATAAGGGATGTAGAACTGTTTGATACTAGCATGAGCGATGCAAGACTAAATAGTCTGCATTTAGAAAAAAGTAATCTGACTTTCATCATGTTATGATGCTATTCTGGAAATCAATGCAAAACGCTAATAATAATCTATGAAATAATAATTCTTTCCTTGATCAGCTGGAAGAGAACCAGAGACTGTTTTGTGCAGAATATTTATGATGAAAATTACAAGATAAAAAAAACAGATTTGGTATACAAGTTAACCAATTGCCACTGGGGAAAATGAAAATGAAAATAAAAATGAAAATGAAAATGAAAATGAAAATGATAATAAAAATGAAAATGAAAATAAAAAAGAAAATAAAAATGAAAATAAAAATGGAAAAAAAGGGGGAAATTGTTGAGCTCATTTTCTATTTTCTTTCTCAAATGTCTCTGCACATAGATGACTCTGCTAGTGCTTGGCCACAAAAGAGTCAATTAGTAGACCTTGTGACCTTACCTAATTTCACCTTTCCTTGAATTGGTGGGAAAAAAAAATTTTTTTTTTACTAATCCTGTGAATATTGAGAGTGTTATTTTTATTATAAACATTATAATTACTATAATGTTATAACATTAATAAAAGCAAAATAAGATAACATAAAATATTTTCATAAATCAAGGAAAAGGGTAAACAGGCAAGGCAGGCAGTACAAGCATAGCCAACTATGTGTAAAAACAATTAAACAAGCAAACTCACAGCGGGCATGGGATGTATGTACATGCCTGCCAGCTTTGGGTTAATTATTTACCACCTAAATAAATAATAATTAAGTAATCAGCTATCAAAGAGAATGCAATGTACATTTAACTCAGGGAACAATAAAACAGAGCCACTCCTTTTCTTATATTTCTGACTCCTTAATGTTACTATGCAAATTTAACTGATAAAAAAACTTATTTGGAATAATCTTCTTAAAATTTGTTCAACAAGAATAGAACATGAAGATGAAGCCTCACTATTTTTTAATCTCTCTGGGATTAGAAACATCTGACTATGATTAGCTGAAATCAATGTTGGGCCACTGCAATTTTTTTTATTGTTTAGCGAGCAAATTTTCTGGAAGTAGGAAGTAGGAGGT